TTTTTACATTTGCTTTCTGCCAAACGATTTCTGGACAAAATTAAGAGTAAATATCAAGCCTTAATTATTACTCCAACAAGTTTACTTCAATAACAGCTCAATCCTTGATTTACTGTCAAATACTATAAAGCATCATATGATTTTATTGGCAAGTTCTCATTGAAAATTTAAAAATCAGTGTGTTAGTCTATTTTTTCAAACTAATATAAGAATTTAACATTAAAGTTTTTTGCATATTAGCTTATTTATAATCATTTGCTTGTAATATTTTTCTATCACACATCATTTTATCAAAAAATAATAAAAAAATAAATTTATGTAAGAAAGTTGAAATACTTCCTATACTAGTGCAAAAAAAAAATATATAAAAAGAAAAAGTAAACTTACTGCTTGTATCGTCTACGAAAACAAATTAACAAACTTCAAATACAGTATATTTGTCAAAGAGGAACAAAAAAAAGGGCTGTATAAAAATCTTTAAAAGAAAAATTAATTAACTTAAACTAATTAAATTTATTGTTGGAAAATAATGAAATAAAATAGTTTATACTTCCAAATGTTTTTTGTTGATTTTAGCTTCTTCACGAGTTTTCGTAACTTCGAAAATTTGTTTAGCCCAATTTCGAATAATCGATTCTAAATCGATTATATCTTTTGCTTTCGATGTTTCAGCCATAATATTAGTATACGGTTGTATTACAGATCGATCCAATTTACGATCATCACCTAAAATATATCAAATTGTGAAGTGATATCAAATATCTATAATACATATCTTAATTTTTCAAACAACAAAATTTAAATCATAATAAATCACTGAGCAATTGTTTTCATTTTCTTTCTAAAGAAATCTGTAGTTAAATGATTTCCTTCAAATTTAAATTTATTTAAATGATTTTTAAATTCACATAATATTTAAATATAGGAATATGAAACATATATAGTCATTAAATCAATAGATTTATTAAAATTTTACACATTTTAAATGAACTTTTACGTAAATTTATACTAAAAAATCTCGACGAAAAATCGAAAATTTATAAAGCACAAATGGAAAGTTCAATGAAAGGAATATTTTCAATCATTACTGTACTTCAAATAACCAAAAAAAAATTCTACTAATGATTTTATTAAAATAAAGAAAGTTTCTCGTGCATTTGTACAGAGTTATTTCTTCCATATATAAGTTAAAATTAATTCAAAGAATAAATTAAAAATTTTTGAATTAACTGCGGAAATTTTTTTTTTGATTATTATTCGTTTGATTAGTAATAGCTTATCAATCAAACTATATTTGTAGAATTTATCATTTAAAATTTTTTAAACCTTTTTTTACAGTTGATTATTTCCTTCCTTTTTTGTATAATCATGAGAAAGAAAAAAAGGTAAGATAATCTGAATTTGATGTTAGCACTGTAAATATTTGATGAATTGCTCTTGTCACTGTAATTTACCAAAGTAATGATTAAGATTAAGCAGGAGTAATCGATACAAGAATGATAAGTAATATTTTTAACTTGCATATCATGTTCATACTTCTCGCGTGAAACATTGCAAATCATAAAATTATAAATTAAAATTAGAAGTTTAACAATTAAGTTAGAAAATAAATGATAATTTAATTTAATTTCATTTATATTCTTTAATTCTTTTTCTTCTTTCTCATTTTCCAATCTTTCTTTAATGCAGAAATTTTACATTAATGAATTTCTTTTACCATTTTTCATTTCTCATCCGTTTTATAATTAATTGTCCAAAATGCAGCAATTTTCATTTCCGTTTGCTTTGATGGAAGCAAAAATTTTCTCCTTCCATTTACATTTAAATTTTGCATTCTTATTTTGAAGTAATTCGATTCCCTGATTTTGCATTTTTATTTCTTTTTTCAATTGTAATTTTACAGAATAGCAAAAATTTTGTTCTAAATTATAGAAAAAATGAAATTGCCGACCTACCAATTAAATAAATAACTATCTGATTAACATTTTAACGAATATATGGTGCAATAATTATCAAGATTGTTATTTCACTTAAACTAAAATGATAATTAACAAAATTTAAAATTAGGAAAAAAATAAAAAAAAAAACATATTACCAATACTATTATTTCACTCAACCTGAAACAATATGATAATTAACAAAATTCAAAATTAGCAAAAAATAAAAAACAAAAACTTACCACAAAATGAAAGCATAATCCGTAATTTAGCGTAAACAACGACGTTTGTTATAAGATAAGAATAATAGCTTCGATACAGTAAATTAGCATTAATTTGGCAAAAAATTATCCTACTTTCAATAAATACAATTATACTGTAAACAGTAAATAAAATCGAATTGTATTTATTTTACACTAAAAGATATAATTAATAATGATAGAAATTAAAACAGAATGAAATATCTTCCAATAATGGAGAACAAGAATATTAGGCAAAATATCAAACAATTACAATATTACTTCCATCTTTCTGTACGCACACCAATACACACACACACAGACATACACACACACATACACACACA